AGACCCCATCTCTACAAAAAAAATTTAAAATAAGCCAAGCATGGTGGCGCGTATCTTAGTCCTAGCTACTCCAGAGGCTGAGGCGGGAGGATCACTTGAGTCCAGGATTTGGAGGCTGCAGTGAGCTATAATCATGCCACTGCATTCCAGCCTGGGTGACAGAGGGAGACCCTGTCTTAAAGAAGAAAATAGGCCGGGCGCGATGGCTCAAGCCTGTAATCCCAGCATTTTGGGAGGCCGAGACGGGCGTATCACGAGGTCAGGAGATCGAGACCATCCTGGCTAACACAGTGAAACCTCGTCTCTACTAAAAAATACAAAAATATAGCCGGGCGAGGTGGTGGGCGCCTGTAGTCCCAGCTACTCGGGAGGCTGAGGCAGGAGAATGGCATAAACCCGGAAGGTGGAGCTTGCAGTGAACTGAGATCCGGCCACTGCACTCCATCCCGGGCGGCAGAGTGAGACTCCGTCTCAAAAAAAAAAAAAAAAAGAAAAAGATAAATAAGTAGCTTAATACTCTGAGATTATAACCACAAAGTTAGCAAAGACTATAGGTTGAGTATCCCTTATCCAAAATGCTGGGGACCAGAAGTGTTTTGAATTTCTGATTTTTATTTTAAAATATTTGCATTATACTTGCCAGCTGAGCATCCCAAATACAAAAATACAAAATACAAAATGCTCCACTGATCGTTTCCTTTGGGTGTCATGTCAAGGCTCAAAAAGTTTTGGACTTTGGAGCATCTCAGGTTTCAGATTTTTGGACTCGGAATGGTCAACCTGTAGCAGTAAGGTGGGGAGAATGTCTTGAAATAAAAAGCAGCTAAGGCTCTCACCATAACATACGGTGTCAAAAGTCAGGGTTATTCTTGGTTTTTATATTTAGGGAAATATCAGTTAAAAAAAAATATGGGCTGGGCGCAGTGGCTCATGCCTGTAATCCTAGCACTTTGGGAGGCCAAAGCAGAAGGATCACTTGGGCCCAAAATTTCAAGACCAGCCTGGGCAACACAGCGAGACCCCATCTCTACCAAAAAAATTTTTTTTTTTTTTTTTTTTTTTTTTTTTTTTGAGACGGAGTCTCACGCTGTTGCCCAGGCTGGAGTGCAGTGGCGCGATCTCGGCTCACTGCAAGCTCCGCCTCCCGGGTTCCCGCCATTCTCCTGCCTCAGCCTCCTGAGTAGCTGGGACTACAGGCGCCCGCCACCGCGCCCGGCTAATTTTTTGTATTTTTAGTAGAGACGGGGTTTCACTGTGGTCTCGATCTCCTGACCTTGTGATCCGCCCGCCTCGGCCTCCCAAAGTGCTGGGATTACAGGCTTGAGCCACCGCGCCCGGCCAAAAAAATTTTTTTTAATTAGCTGGGCATGGTGGTACACACCTGTGGTTCCAGATACTCAAGAAGCTGAGATAGTAAGATCACCTAGGCCCAGGAGGTTGGGGCTGCAATGAGCTGTGATTGCACCACTGCACTCCAATCCAGGCGACAAAGCAAGACCTTGCTTAAAAAAAAAAAAAAAAAGGGCCGGGCGCGGTGGCTCAAGCCTGTAATCCAGCACTTTGGGAGGCCGAGACGGGCGGATCACGAGGTCAGGAGATCGAGACCATCCTGGCTAACACGGTGAAACCCCGTCTCTACTAAAAAATACAAAAAAACTAGCCAGGCGAGGTGGCGGGCGCCTGTAGTCCCAGCTACTCAGGAGGCTGAGGCAGGAGAATGGCGTGAACCCGGGAGGCAGAGCTTGCAGTGAGCTGAGATCCAGCCACTGCACTCCAGCCTAGGCGACAGAGCGAGACTCCGTCTCAAAAAAAAAAAAAAAAAGAAAAAAAAAAGAAGCCGGGCGCGGTGGCTCACGCCTGTAATCCCAACACTTTGGGAGGCCAAGGCGGGTGGATCACAAGGTCAGGAGATCGAGACCATGGTGAAACCCCATCTCTACTAAAAATACAAAAAATTAGCCGGGCACGGTGGCGGGTGCCTGTAGTCCAGCTACTCAGGAGGCTGAGGCGGGAGAATGGTGTAAACCCGGGAGGCGGAGCTTGCAGTGAGCTGAGATCTGGCCACTGCACTCCAGCCTGGGGGACAGAGCAAGACTCCGTCTCAAAAAAAAAAGAAAAAAAAGAAAAAATTATGAGGCTGGGTGCAGTGGCTCACGCCTGTAATCCCAGCACTTTGGGAGGCCAAGATGGGTGGATCATCTGAGGTCAGGAGTTCGAGACCAGCCTGGCCAACATGGTGAAACCTCATCTCCACCAAAAATACAAAAATTAGCTGGACATGGTGGCGGGAGCCTGTAATCCCAGCTACTTGGGAGACTGAAGCAGGAGAATCGCTTGAACCCAGGAGGTGGAGGTTACAGTGAGCTGAGATTATGCCACTGCACTCCAGCCTGGTCCAGCCTGGGTGACAGAGTGAGACTCCATCTCCAAAAAAAAAAAAAAAAAAAAAATTATGAACTTCGAATCCGGCAGACAGTGGGCTTCCTATTTTAAGAGGCATCAGTATCAACCTGTCACAACATAGACAGACCCACTGGCTTCCCAAGTCATAATCCTGTGACTCCTCTAAATACCCAGAGCCAAGAAAGCAGGGCAGCACCCCTCCCGGAGGACACAGGAGACCCACCAGTCCCTAACCCCCTGTCTGCATCAACCCTAGTACCACACTTGATAGGTTCACATCCATCCAGAGCTTTGACCCTCATCGCCTATGAAGGCAGGGATTCACTGGCTTCCAAACTGAGAAGGTGCCACCACATTCCCACATGCTGAAGACACCCCCCTCAGGGAAGGTGACAAAACCCAGGGTTCCTGGCACAAGTTTGAACTCCTCCATCTCCCCAGCTGCTGTGGCTAATCGGTCCCCAAGTTCTGTGGAACCCACCCTGTCTAGGATTCTTTCTGAAAGGTAAACTCTGTGATTGCAGGGCCCGTGTCTCTCTTATAGCTGTGTCCCTAGGTCTGAGAGCCACAGCAGGTGCTCAGGAAGTGGAGGTGGTTGAATGCGTGGTGAGACAGGACCACAGAAGACATGCTGGAATCAAGCAGGTAATGATGCCATGCAGTAGGTGTTTCCTCACCTCCAACCCGGAGGTTCTGACTGGGCTCCTGTGCCCGGGACCTCTGCTCCCCTTCAGGCAGTGAGCCAGTATCACTGATGGGAATATGCCCGGTATCAGGTGGGTTGGGTCCGAAACAAGGTTGAATGCCACCACTGACCCATCTGCTTTCCAGTGACCCTCTCTCCATCAGCCTGTGCTGCTTCTTGCTTGGAATATTGCAGAAGCCTCTTAGCTGGCCCCATGGACTCTACATTCTCCCTGGTTTGATTGTGTCCTTCCTGCCCTTCTTTTTTTCTCAGAGACAGTCTCACTCTGTTGCCCAGGCTGGAGTGCAGTGGCAAGATCTCTGCCTCCCAGGTTCAAGCAATTCTCCTGCCTCAGCCTCCTGAGTAGCCAGGATTACAGGCACCTGCCACCATGCCCAGCTAATTTTTGTATTTTTGGTAGAGGCGGGGTTTTACCATGTTGGCCAGGTTGGTCTTGAATGCCTGACCTCAATGATCCACCCTCCTTGGCCTCCCAAAGTGCTGGGATTACAGGCATGAGCCACCCCACCCCGGCCCCCATTTGACTTCTTTATACTCGTTAAGGTTTGTAACCCAAAAACTTTGCCTCCCACATTCATCAGAGTTGGCCTCAGTGACTTTTGGACATTTTCATGACTGGGATTGTTCACAATCATCTGCTCCCAGCTCCAGAGAGGGATTTCCAAGCAGCAACGGCAGTGGCCCTGGGACAAGGGGTCAGTGCTCACCCTGGCACGGCAGGCCTGGGGTGTCATGGAAGCGCCCCCTCCTTCCCAAAGAACTGAAGTTGTCTTTGGCACTGCCTTCAGGTTCCTGGGCACCTGGGGGGTGTCTGTTTCTGATCGAGATCAAGAGCTCCTTAAGGAACAGTCCTGTGACCTGTTCATCTTTATGTCCCCAGTGCCTGGCACCCAGCAAGGATGATGGCAGCAGAGCAGAGGAGATCTGGGCAGAAATGTACAAAATTCAGTTTGGGTCACACTGAAACTGTAATTTCTTTGGCTGTCCCCTTATCTGTGAGAACATAATTTGTGGGAGGATTACGAAGCCAGGGCCAGAGTTGGAGGACTTAGGCTTGACCTGGGGACAGCAAGGAGCCTTGGGACTTTGTACCACACCCATAGGAATGTGCAGAAGGGGCCTGGTCAGGAGTCTAGTGGCCTGGGTTCCACGCAGCACTGACACTTACTAAGCCCTCTAACCCTGGAGAAGTTGTTTCACTTCTCTGAGTTCTTGGCATCTGCTAAATGCAGATGAAAATCCTATCCTCACCCATTTCAGGGGGTGGCTATGAAGAATCTAGAAGAAATTTGGAAATTATAAAAGGCTATATAAATTACAAGGGCAGGGTCGGGCATGGTGGCTCACACTTGTAATCCCACCACTTTAGGAGGCCAAGGTGGGAGCATTGCTTAAGTTCAGGAGTTCAAGACCAGCCTGGGCAGCAGAGCAAAACCTTGTCTCCACTAAAAATGAAAAAAATTAGCCGAATGTAGTGGTGTGTGCCTGTAGACCCAGCTACTTAGCAGGCTGAGGCAGGATTGCTTGAGCCCAGGAGGTCAAGGCTGTAATGAGCTATGATCACGCCACTGCATGCCAGCCTGGGTGACAGAATAAGACCCTGTCTCAAAGAAAAAAAGAGGTGGGGAGGGAGCACTTGCTGGTGGCACTTTCTGTGGATCACAGCCTTTCATGGGGCTATCCCAGAGGGTAAGGCCCTCAACCCAATCCCACCTCCAACATAAACAGGCCTATTGCCTGTGAGGTGCAGCATAGGTCAACCTGTGCAGGATACATTCTAGCCAGGTGGGAGGTGGAACAGAGACCCCCTCCCAGCCACCATGACACCCTAAGGCCTTCTAAACCCCACCCAAGCCAGGCTGGCATCAGGGAAATGAGAGATAAGCAGCTCTGAGAGTGTGCTCCAAAGAGGTTTATTAGTAAACACACTGGGGAGCCCTGGGTTCTTTCCCAGAACAAGGGGCTGAGAACATCCAGTCAGGGTGCCAGGCTGCCACAGGCTGAGGGGACTGGCACTGGGGAGACAGCAGGGTTTCTCCTTCAAGCACAGCCAAGTCACCCTCCTTTGCCCTTGGAGTCTCCTCCTGAAGAGCATGGCTGTCTTCCCCATGGAGAAAATGAGGTCTCCAGACGTTTCCTGCTTTGCCCAACATCCACCAACCCCTTCAGAATCTAGACCCCCCTCTGTCTGTTCCTCACCTTGGCCAGGATCAGGGGACCCCTCATCTTGCAGAGTCAGCCCCACCCCCACCGCAGCAGGCCCCAGCTGACTCCTAGAACCTAGCGACTACAGTCTGGAGCGGATAAATTCTATCAGGTTCTCCAACTGCTCCTCCAGGCGCTGTTCATCTCCATGGTTCTCGATGACCCAGTCAAAGCCCCCAAAGTTGTCCAGGCCACATTCTGACTCAGCGTCGTCCACCCCTGTGAAGGAAGCATGGCAAGGTCAGGCCCCAGCCCTCCAGACAGACACCAGTCTTCAAGGCCTGCTAGCCCCAGCTGGAGTAGGCCCTCCCGGCCTCTCCTCTGCTACCCCAGAGCTAAGGACTACCCACCCAGAAGGCACTTCCCTACCCCTGAAACACTGCGATGGCAGGTTCAGCAGCCCACAGCCACCTGGGCCCCCCAGCTGATCCCTCCTGACTTAATTCTTACTTGCTACTGCCTACAGAGGGTGAATCCGGACATCTAAAACCACACACAACTGTGTTTTCATTTTCTGTCAAGGTGGTTGTGTCCTTTTCTATCCCTAAATCTGTCCAATTCAGTCCCCTCAGGAGGCAGCATGTGCCAGAGTTAGAAGCAGAGGGTCAGGAGGCCAGCTCCTCCTCTCACTCTTTGTGATCCTGGGAAAGAGACTTAACCTTTCAGGCCAGGGCCTCATCAGACCACGGGTAAACTAATAACAGCATCTACCTGCTGAATCTGTTTTGATGGTACAGTGAGACAGTGCATGTAAAATGCTTAGCACAGGCCTGGACCATGTGAGTGCCCCAGAAATGAGTAGCATTAGCAGTGGTCATACCCATTGGATCTGAACTGCTCCAAGTCACAGTGATCTAGGGCAGGAAGGAAGCCTGAGTTGTGTTTCAGAAGCCCACAGAGCGGGTCCTGGGCTTGCACCATTGAAGCTCCCAGCAGAACTTCCTCTCCACTACTAACTTCTAACTCCACTACTGTGTTAAAAAGAAGTGAGCTTTGTCAGGTTTGCCCTTGACCACTGTCAGCCCCTACAGGGCTGGAAAGCAAAGGTGAAGAACCATGGGGGTGGGTCCCAGCCAGACTACCAAAGCAGCCCACTGGCCATGAGAAGATAGCCTAGGTTAAACCAAGAGAACCTTGACCCCCAGGACCTCCTCCACCATGCTACTCCCTAATCAGGAGGCCTCAGATTCTCCTTTATCATCCCTCACTCACTTTCCCCAGGCCTGCCAGGGAGACAAACCACAGGGTGGGTAGCCTGTGTCCTCCTGTGCCCTACACATGGAGTGGCTCACCTGGCGTGAACACCCAGCCCCGCTGCTGTCGGCTCTGCTCCAACGCTACAACGCGGACAGTCTGCGTCATGGCCCCATAGGCCTCCCGAAACCACTGGATGTCAGACACTCTCCGTGTGTCACTCACCAACTGCAGGGGAGGGACACAGGTGACCAACAGGACAGGATGCTAGAAGAGAGGGGAGGTGGGGGACTCCAGAACCCAGGGCAGTGTGGGGTGTGGCTCTACCCCACATCTTCATGAGCAAGTCAGCAGCTAGACTCACTATTCACGGATTCACTCATTCATTGAACATACGCCACTGAGTGCTGACTACATGTCAGGCAGTGCTGCTGACAGGTTCATTCATCCAATTAAGCAAGTATTATAGCAAGTACCTACTGTGTGCTAGGCACTGTGCTAGGTGCTAAGACTAGAGTGGTAAGCAAAACAGACCCTGTGCCCGCCCTCTCAGAGCTTACAGTCTAGTGGGAGACACTGAACAGATGTTTAGTGATCAAATAACCGTGTGATTAAAGTGTATGTCAACAAGTGTCTCAACCTCAACACGGCTGAAACTCAACTCCTGATTTCCTCTCCAATCCTGTTCCTCCCAACCTTCCCTGTCTTAGAAAATGGTAATTCTATATTTGTCCACCTGCTCAGAACAAAATCCTTGGTATAGTCTCCCACACCCCACAGCCAACCCATGGGCAAATCCTGTTGGTTTTCTCTTCAAAATACATGCAAAATCGACTCCTTATTTCCACTCTACCTTCACTCCCCTCTGCGCCCCAACCATAGTCATTTTGTCTGTTACAGAAAGGTCCTGGCCAGGCGTGGTGGCTCACGCCTATAATCCCAGCACCTTGGGAGGCCGAGGTGGGTGGATCACTTGAGGTCAGGAGTTTGAATTTTGCCATATGGAAAAACCCCGTCTCAACTAAAAATACACAAAAATTAGTTGGGCATGATGGCACATGCCTGTAATCCCAGCTACTCAAGAGGCTGAGGCATGAGAATCGCTTAAACCCATGAGGCATAGGGTACAGTGAGCCGAGATCACGTCACTGCACTCCAGCCTGGGTGATGGAGTGAGACTCTGTCTCAAAAAAAAAAGAAAAAAAAAAATACTCCACCCGGTCCCTGTGCTTCTGCTCCCATCTTCCCCACAGCAGCTAGGGCCAGCCTTCTCAATCTTAAATCAGATCATGTCTCTCCTCTGCTAAGAACCCTGTAGTGACTCCCCATCTCACTCAGAATAAAATCCCAGCTCTCCCAAAGGTCCTCCCTGGGAAGTCCGACCTGACCTCCCACCACTCACCCTCACCCACTCTGGCCACCTGGCTTGTCCTCAGACACACCAGGCACACTCACCACTCAAGCCTCTGCACTTCCTCCTCTCTCTGGAAAGCTACTTCCCCAAATATCCATTCAGTTATCCCTTATTTCCTTCAGGTCTTCCTCAAACATCATCATATCAGTGTGGCCTTCCCAGGCACCCTTAATAAAACATCAGCACTTCCCTATCTCTCCTCATATCCTAGGCCTACTTTATTTTACTCCTTAGTATTTACCTCCGCCTGATATATTCTGTATTTATTCTGTGCCTATCTCCCCACCACCCTCAGCTGTAATGTAAGCTCCCTGAAGGAAGAGACTTCATTGCATTTTTGTACCAATATACCTGGCAGAAGTGGATACTCAATATTCACTGGCAGAATGAATGAGGAAGAAAAGGGTAGGGTGATATAGGAGCACCTGCCAGGGAGCACCAGTTAAGACTTGAATATTATGGAAGGCTTCCCTGTGGAGGTGTCATGTCAACTGAGCTGAAGCTAACCAGGGAAAGAGAGAAAGAAAGGGCAGTCCAGACAGGTGGAAGGGCATGTGCAAAGGCCCTGAGTCCAGAAGGAGTTCGACTGACTTGAGGACCAAGGCGGCCAGTGTTGCTGCAGCTCAAGGAGTAAGGAGGCTAAAAAGGTAGCAGAAACTGGATCACACAAGGCCAAGAAGTTCATGTGAAGGATTTTCATTTTGTTCATGAGAACAACGGGAAGCCACCAAAGTATTCTAAACAGAACATGAGAACGAGAAGCCACCAAAGTATTCTAAACAGAAGAGTGACGTCACTTGGTTCATGTTTTTAAAAGGTCAGTCTGGGCTGCACGCAGTGGCTCACATCTGTAATCCCAGCATTTTGGGAGGCTGAGGTGGGTGGATCACCTGAGGTCAAAAGTTCGAGACCAGCATGACCAACATGGTGAAAACCCATCTCTACTAAAAATACAAAAAAAACTGCAATCCCAGCTGCTTGGGAGGCTGAGGCAGAAGAATCACTTGAACCCAGGAGGCGGAGGCTGCAATGAGCCAAGATTGCGCCACTGCACTCCAGCCTGGGCGACAAGAGTGAGACTCCATCTCAAAAATAAATAAATAAATAAATAAATATATAATAAAATGTCGGTCTGGCTGCTGTGTAATGAATAGAACACAGACGGCAAGAGCCACAGCTACAGACCAGTGTGGAGGCTACGGCGATTGTCCAGGCCAGAAATGGTGGGGGCTTGGGCCAGGACGGTGGCAGTGGAGACAGAGAGAGAGAGACACAGCAAAGAGCTCGGGAAACAGGTGTTCTTCATGCTGCCATGGAGCCCTCTTACCCAGATGGGCTGAGAGATGCCCTCCACAATCTTCCTGCAAAAGAAGCCTGGGTCAGCCTGGCGTTTCTCCTCTCCCCAGCGGATCATGTCCTTCCGAAAGGCCTCCTTGTAGGTGCTGGCGTCCAGGAGTCTCTGGAAGTTCAAGCCATGCTCCTGCCCAAAGGACATTATGTCTATGTCACCAGCCTTTCAACCTCAGTGGTCTCTCCTAAAACAGCAGAAGAGCCATCCCTCACCCTCACCTGCCTCTCCCAAGGCTGATGCAAGGATTAATGAGGTTTCAGCCAGAACAAAGGTCTGCAAGGGAAAGAACCCCAGCAACTAAGAAATCCCGATCACTGGTAGACAGAAGAAAGGTCTGGAGATAATCCAGAAATTGTTTCAATTTGTCTTTGAAATGTGTGACGTGGTTTCTCTTTTGCAAGTTTTACCTTCCCAATTATTTCTGGCTTAAAGTAATCCTGAAATTAGTTTGCATCCCCTGGGCAAAGGTTTAGCCTTCAACTAAAGTGGGAAATCTGAGGGGGAAAAAAAACTCCTGCACTCCATGTCCTCCCACTAGCATTGTTTGCCCCCATCCCAAATCCCACGGAGATTGTGTCTCCTTCCTCTCCCCCTTATCCCTTCCCATCCCCAAATTCCTGGCGCCTTTGCTGAAACAGCAACACTCCATTTAGCTGTGGGCACTTATGTGCAAGGCTTCCCACACCCAGAGGACCCCCCAGGCAGGAGAGGCTACTCTGACCACCTGGGGAGCTCCTTTCTCCCCCCTCAAGCAGAGGGGTCCATCTAAAGGGATCCAGGATAGGAGGGGTCTGAGAAGCATCACCCAGTTCAGGTTCTGGCTCCTCCATGAGCTCACTGCAGCAAGACCTTCTCCCCTCAGGCTCTCAATTTCTTGATCACCCACCTGCTCCCCTTGCTGCAAGAGGAGGTCAGTAGCCACCTCCTGCTCCTGAACTGGTTTCCCTCCAGGAATATCGTGGTCTGCTTGTCGTTTATATTTCCCCTTGTGACTTAGGAAATCAATGCATGAACATTTCATTTTGGTTTTGCTTTTTAATGGGAGTGGGGGATAGAGTGGTGCTGGACTTCCACAGAGCAAGGGCAGTCTGGCCTATCAGAATCTTCCATGGAGGTTTTAAAAATGCAAATTGGGGCCGGGCGCGGTGGCTCACGCCTGTAATCCCAGCACTTTGGGAGGCCAAGGCGAGGGGATCATGAGGTCAGAAGATAGAGACTATCCTGGCTAACACGGTGAAACCCTGTCTCCACCAACAATACAAAAAAATTAGCTAGGCGTGGTGGCGGGTGCCTGTAGTCCCAGCTACTCAGGAGGCTGAGGCAGGAGAATGGCATGAACCCAGGAGGCAGAGCTTGCAGTGAGCTGAGATCGCGCCACTGCACTCCAGCCTGAGCAACAGTGAGACTCCAACTCAAAAAAAAAAGCAAATTGGCCAGGCGTGGTGGCTCACGCCTGTAATCCCAGCACTCTGGGAGGCCGAAGTGGGCAGATCACAAGGTCAGCAGTTCGAGACCAGCCTGACCAATATGGTGAAACCATGTCTCTACTAAAAATACAAAAAAATTACTCTGGCGTGATGGCGCATGGCTATAATCCCAGCTACTCAGGAAGCTAAAGCAGTAGAAGTGCTTGAACCCAGGAGGTGGATGTTGCAGTGAGCCAAGATGGCGCCACTGCACTCCAGCCTGGGTGACAGAGCAAGACTCCATCTCAAATAAATAAATAAAATAAATAAATAAATAAAAATGCAAACTCCTGCTCCTTCCTCCTCCCGCCCCCAACCAACCCCACCAGTCTGACTCAGAAGGACAGAAGCAAGACCTGTCTGGGAATTTTGGAAGATCGGTTTTGAAAGTGATCCTGGGAGGCCTTTGGAAGTGCCTAGGCCCCACTAGGGAAGGCTCAGTGCCTTTCCCTTCACCCCTTCCTTCCTCCCATCTCCCCACCACCAACCCACCACCCCGCAGAGTCACTTCCAGTCTGTCTCCTGGATGCAAAGAAATTCTGTGTCCAGTTTCATTTGGGAAAGAATCCTGCTTAAAATTTTTGTAAACCAGGCCAGGCAAAGTAGCTCGCACCCAAATCCTAGCACTTTGGGAGGCCACAGTGGGAGGATCGCTTGAGCCCAGGAGTTGGAGACCAGCTTGGGCAACATAATGAGACTCCCATCTCTACAAAAAAAAAAAAATTTAAACTTAGCTAGTCATAGTGGCATGCACCTGTATTCCTAGCTACTTGGGAAGCTGAAGTGGGAGGATCACTTGAGTCCAGGAGGTCAAGGCTGCAGTGAGCCATTATGCGCCACTGCACTCCAGCCTGCACTACAGAGCAAGACCTTGTCTCAAAAGGAAAAAAAATTAAATGACTTAATTTAGTTATTCTTACAATTCCTCAGGCTGCCACCCTATGAATGGGTCTGTTCAGCTGGTGAGAGATGACCCAATGCTTCCCATGGAGGCAGAGCTGGCACACAGAAGGGGGGACAATTCATTTTATGTGGTTCTGGAGGCCACACTCAGGCCAACGGAGGGGCCAGAGCACATGTCCCAGAAGGGTGCACCTAGAGGCCAAGGGCAAAATGTGGGCAACAAGAGGGCTCTTCACCATGTGGGAGGCTGATCTTGCCTTCCAGGTTCTCTTTCCGAAGTCTAAGATTCTGAGAGTTCCCATTGACTTATTTTTTTTTATTCTATTTTAACGATCCTATTTTTTTTTAACCCACGTGGTTCAAAATTCAAAGATACACATTAATTTACAGTGAAAAATCTCTCTCTCACCCTGTCCCCTCCTTGGGGGCAACCAATGGTACAGTTTCTTTTTTTTTGTTTTTTGTTTTTTTTTTGAGGCGGAGTCTCCCTCTGTCGCCCAGGTTGGAGTGCAGTGGCGCGATCTTGGCTCACTGCAAGCTCCGCCTCCCGGGTTCACGTCATTCTCCTGCCTTAGCCTCCCGAGTAGCTGGGACTACAGGCGCTCGCCACCGCGCCCGGCTAATTTTTTATACTTTTAGTAGAGACGAGGTTTCACCGTGTTAGCCAGGATTGTCTCGATCTCCTGACCTTGTGATCCGCCCGCCTCGGCCTCCCAAAGTGCTGGGATTACAGGCGTGAGCCACAGCGCCCGGGCCAATGGTACTGTTTCTAACGTGTCTTTCCCGCGCAGTGCAGGAACACATCCCAGGCACCTGAAACAGTGCTGAACATGAGACAGGCACCCCGTAAATATTTGTTAAATAGCCGAATATATGAGCAGATACACTTAGAATTCCTTTACAATTCTTGGTCACAAAGTGCCTCTTCAGTTTTAGACAAATGTAACATTCTCTACACACTGTTCTACATCTTGGTATTGGCTTTTTTTTCCCCCACTTAATGATATATTTTGACAACTTATGGGACTAAATTTCTTCTTTGTGTGTTGTTGTTTACTTTAAAAAAATTTTTTTTAAAGAAACAGAGATGAGGTTTCACCGTGTTGGCCAGGCTGGTCTCTAACTCCTGGACTCAAGCAATCCACCTGCCTTGGCCTCCCAAAGTGCTGGGATTACAGGCGCGTGCCACTGTGCTCAGCCTGTACTAAATTTCTAGGAACAAAGTTCCAGGGGCTGTGTCAGGCCAGCTGAGTGAGAGGGTGGTGTGAGGAGGCACAGTCAGGTCCTTACTAACCACACAGAATCAGAGCCACCAACTCGAGTGTCGACAGCCTTTCCTGGGCACACCTTCTTGAACTCACTCTGAAGGGAGGGAGGCTATTAGGAAAGAAATATAAGCTGAAAATGCCCCCACAACGTCCACTCACAGAAAACCAAGAGCTGGCCACCGCCCTGCCAGCAGTGGTGACGAGGATCATGCCAGTGACTCAGGCAGCAGCCACAGCTGCAAAGTCCTGGAGCCGGCCCCGCCCAACACACCGGATGCCACAGAGCACCACCTACCTGAGCATACTGCTCCTTGAGTGGACCCGAGAGCCGCAGAACAGCACAGACATCAGCTCCGAGTCTGAGGGACAGGGAGATCAGAATCCAGTTAGCCTAGAATTTCCAGGAGCTTCCAGGTCCCAGAAAGAGAGTCAAGAGGCCTGTGCTGAAGTCCCATTTCTACTACTGGTATTATGTAACTTTGGTAGGTCTCAGTGTCCCTGATCCTATTTCTTCATCGGAAAATGATGATAATACTTTCTGTTCTGTCTCCCACACAGGATTATTATGAAACTCTAATGAATATAAAAGAGCCCTGAAACTAACAGGTAAAATCTATAAAGTGATAATTACAGTGTGAACACTCATGCAATATTCTGGCTGGATTAGGTTATTGCCCAGACCCTAAACTAATTATCTCACAGCCAGAGGTACCTGTCTCTACTGACTTGGTCACCATAACACATATCATTTATTCATTCACTGGTTGGGCGTGGTGGCTCACACCTGTAATCCCAACACTTTGGGAGGCCAAGGCAGAAGGAATGCTTGAGGCCAGGAGTTCAAGACCAGCCTGGGCAACACAGTAAGACCCAGAGATACTATCTCCACAAAAAAGTTTAAAAATCACCTGAGCATGGCAGCATGTGCCTGTACTCCAAGCTACTCCAGAGGCTGAGGTGGGAGCGTTCCTGAGCCCAGGAGTTCCAGGCTACAGTGAGCCACGATTGTACCACTGTATGCCAGCCTGAGAGACAGAGTGAAACCCTGTCTCAAAAAAATGAACTAAGAAAAGCAAATGTAAAAAAACTGAAACAAAAGCCAGGTGCGGTGGCTCACACCTGTAATCTCAGCACTTTGGAAGGCTGAGGCAGGTGGATCACCTGAGGTCAGGAGTTTGAGACCAGCCTGACTAACATGGTGAAACCCTGTGTCTAAAAGTACAAAATTAGCCGAATATGATGGCGCATGCCTGTAATCCCAGCTGCTTGGGAGGCTGAGGCAGGAGAATCGCTCAAACCCGGGAGGCGGAGATTGCAGTGAGCCGAGAGCCGAGATCGTGCCATTTCACTCCAGCCTGGGCAACAAGAGTGAAACTCCATCTCAAAAAAATAAATTAAATAAATTAAATAAAATAAAAAATAAATTAAAATAACTTATTCATTATTTAATTTACTTAACCAACTTTTTTTTTTTTTTTTTTTTGAGACAGCATCTTGCTCCGTTGCCCAGGCTGGACAGGCTGGAGTGCAATGGCGCGATCTTGGCTCACTGCAAGGCGATCTCAGCCTCACGAAGTGGTGGGATTACAGAAGTAAGCCACCGCACCTGGCCCTTTTTTTTTTTTTCTCTTTTTTGAGACAGAGTCTCACTCTGTCGCCCAGGCTGGAGTACAGTGGCGCCATCTCGTCTCACCGCAACCTCCACCTCCACCTCCCTGCTTAACCAATGCTTTATTGGGTACCATATTTGGATCTAGGTGATACACATGTGAATGATACATGCTTCCTGTCCTAGCCTCAAGATGCTCACAGATACACTTAATGCACGGGAAGACAAGTGTTTTTTGTTTTTGTTGTTTTTTTGAGACTCACTCTGTAGCCCAGGCTGGGTGCAGTGGCACTACCTCGGGTCACTGCAACCTCCACCTCCTGGGTTTAAGCTATTCTCCTACCTCAGCCTCCCAAGTAGCTGAGACTACCGGCCCCCGCCACCACGTCCAGCTAATTTTTGTATTTTTAGTAGAGAAAGGTTTGACCTTGGCCGGGCGCGGTGGCTCAAGCCTGTAATCCCAGCACTTTGGGAGGCCGAGACGGGCGGATCACGAGGTCAGGAGATCGAGACCATCCTGGCTAACACCGTGAAACCCCGTCTCTACTAAAAATACAAAAAACTAGCCGGGCGAGGTGGCGGGCGCCTGTAGTCCCAGCTACTCAGGAGGCTGAGGCAGGACAATGGCCTAAACCCGGGAGGCGGAGCTTGCAGTGAGCTGAGATACGGCCACTGCACTCCAGCCCGGGCTACAGAGCAAGACTCCGTCTCAAAAAAAAAAAAAAAAAAGGTTTGACCATGTTGGTCAGACTGGTCTTGAACTCCTGAGCTCAAGTGATCCACCTTTCTCAGCCTCCCAAAGTGTTATGATTACAGGTGTGAGCCACCGCGCCCGGCGATAAGTGTTCTTTGTTTTGGTTTTTTAAGAGTCAGGGTCGGCCGGGCGCGGTGGCTCAAGCCTGTAATCCCAGCACTTTGGGAGGCCGAGACGGGTGGATCACGAGGTCAGGAGATCGAGACCATCCTGGTGAACACAGTGAAACCCCGTCTCTACTAAAACTACAAAAAACTAGCCGGGCGAGGTGGCGGGCGCCTGTAGTCCCAGCTACTCGGGAGGCTGAGGCAGGAGAATGGAGTGAACCCGGGAGGCAGAGCTTGCAGTGAGCTGAGATCCGGCCACTGCACTCCAGCCTGGGCGACAGAGCGAGACTCCGTCTCAAAAAAAAAAAAAAAAAAAAAAAAAAAAGAGTCAGGGTCTTGCTGTCACCCAGGCTAGAGTGCTGTGGTATGATCACAGCTCACTACAATCTTGAACTCCTGAGTTCAGGCAATCCTCCCACCTCAGCCTCCTGAGTATCAGGGATTACTGGCATGCACCACCACACCCAGCTAATTTTTTTATCTTTTGTAGAGATGGGGTCTCACTATGTTGCCCTGGCTGTAAGTGTTCTTATTTTCATGTTTCAGATGAGGAAGCTGAGGTTGTGAAAGGAGGATTGACTTCCCCAAAGCAACACTGTAAGTAGTGAAGCCAGGATTGGTAAAATAAATATAAAAACATTTAGTTCCTGCACCTCTGCTAGGTGCCAATAATTATTCTAAGCCCTTCACGCACATTATCTCCTTTAATCCCTACAACCACCCTATTATTATCCCCATTTTACAAATGACAAAACTGAGACACAGGCCGGTGCAGTGGTTCACGTCTGTAATCCCAGCACTCTGGGAGGCCGAGGCAGGCAGATCACTTGAGGTCAGGAGTTTGAGACTAGCCTAGCCAACATGGTGAAACCTGTCTCTACTAAAAATACAAAAGTTAGCTGGGTGCGGTGGCTCACACCTGTAATCCCAGCTACTCTGGAGGGTGAGACAGGAGAATAGCTTGAACCCAGGAGGCAGAGGTTGCAGTGAGCCGCAACCTGGGTGCGCTCCAGCCTGGGTGACAGAGCAAGACTCCCTCTCAAAAAAAAAAACAACTAAGGCACAGAGTGAATGAGAGATGTGTACAAGATCACACACTAATCAACAGGGAGCCACGGTTTGCATCCCAGCAGTCTAATTCCACAGCCTGTGCTTCTGACCACTATTTGACATCAGAGTTTGAAGGTGAGGAGAAATGCAACTTAGGAAAAGGTGGTGAGATACTTAGTGGTGAAAAATTCAGGTGGTGACCTCTGCTCTGGGCTCTCCCACACCTTTGTAGAACCCCTGTGATATCCAAAAGCAGCTTCCTGGTACCCCCACCACACTGGCCTTCAAGAGGAGAGGAGCCCCACTCCAGTTTCTCCCCATCCTCTGCTCTCCTAGCCCAGGTCTCAGCAAAATGCTCCCGCACAGAAGATCTTGCTTTGACAGAAAACACTGTGCAAAAGGTATTATTATTTGGGGAGGCAGTCAGATAAAACAGAAAGAAACCAGTCCTTGGCGCAAGACAAAGCTGAATTTGTTTGGGTTTTTTTTTCTTTTTGTTTCACTTATATATTAATTGCTGAGATGCCCATCATGAACCACAAAACTGAATTTGAATCCTGAATTTGCCACTTACTTTGCGACCGGCAAGGGTTTTTTATTGTTGTTAGCTTTGTACATTATTTTACTTCGAGACAGGGTCTCAGGCTCTGCTGCACGGACTGGAGGACAATAGCATGATTACAACTCACTGCAGCCCCCAGGCTCAAGCGATCCTCCCACCTCAGCCTCCTGAGTAGCTGGGACTAGAGGTGCTTGCCATCGCACTAGGCTAACTTTTCAATTTTTTTGTAGAGACTAGGGTCTTACTGTATTGCCCAGGCTGGTCTCCAACTACCGGGCTCTCAAGTGATCCTCGCACCTCTGTCACGCATGACCACCACACCCAGCCTGTTTAACTTTTTAAGAACCTCAGTTTCTTCATCTGTGAAATGCAGATGCTAATAATGGCACACAGTACCTAACAAAGAAGTGAAGAGGGTTTTTTTGGTTTTGTTTTTAAGACAGGGCCTTGCGCTGTCGCCCAGGCTGGAGTGCAGTGGCGCGATCTCGCCTTACTGCAACCTCCGCCTCCCTGGCTCAAGCAATTCTTCTGCCTCAAGCTCCCGAAGAGCTGGGACCACAGGCGCGCGCCACCACGCCCAGCTACTTTTTGGATTTTTCGTAGAAGCGGGGTCTCGCCATGTTGCCCAGGCTGGTATCCAACTCCTGGTACATAGAAAGTGCCTTCGTAGGAACCATTATTAATACTTCTTAGACCTGTAGCTGAAGGTCTTTGGAGAGATGGTCACCTGGTTCTTTGAGGCTCCCGTGTGTAGATTGCTGTTTTATGTAATGGTGACATTCCACCTTCCCCAACCCAGTGCTCCTCCTGCCTTGCAAACGGAGGACCCCTACTCCAAAGCTCACTCGGTGACACCCAAAAGCACTCCTCGTGTCACGTGATGCGGAGAGCTCCCCCTTCCACCTTTCCCGCCCCACGGACACCTGCTCTGCAGCGCCTCGGTCACGAAGTCCTTCCCGGATTTCCTCTTGCCGCTGAACAGCAGCACCAGCCGCGGGGCGCCTGCCAGCGGGGCCATGGGCCGCCACGCCTCGCGATGCCTGAAGCTGACACTTCTCCCTACCCCTAAACTCCGGACACCGCGCGGAATGGACGCGGCCACTGAGCGGAGCAGCAACACGGAGCAATCCCGCCCCTCCTCGCCATAGCTGCGAACAGGGCTGACCGTCCGCGACTGTGCGCTCAATTCATGTCCAAACAGATACCAGGAGAAAAGGGTGAGACCCGCGGAGAGAAAGGCGGTTCTTTCACACGGCAGCCTCCCCTCGTGAAGCTCCCCCACCCGAACTCACTTAGAACAGTCCAGCCCCGCCCAGAACCTTTACTCACAGCCGGGACTGCTTAACTGACACCCGGGGAGGAACCGGACGCGACTACCTTCCTCCGAGGGGGGTGGCGTCTGAAATTTCCTAAGGTGAACCCCATGTTCCCTTCCGCGCAGCCCTAAAAACTTTAGGAAAAGAAAATCTCTGGAGCGTGATCACTGGGAGACGTTTTGGAAACTGCCTTTTTGCCTGTGCGTTATAGTGCATGTGCCTCAGCAAATCTGCGGGTGCCCCAGAGTGGGAATGGGTCTTCCTGGGGGTGTAAGGCAGCCCTGACGCCAGCGGCGTGTGTGGTCACGTCATGTCGGGGGAGGAGCGGAATCGCTCACACGATATTTTATTGCCAAGCAGACTTTATAACCCGAGCCGTCACTAAGATGTGGCCCGTTAAGCCCGGCAAGAAACCTTTGGTTGCTTTTCTAGCCGCAGCCTCCTGATCAAAGGTTTTCGGAAGCAAGAGCACTTGAAACGGCGTGGGTGACATCGATAGTAAGGGAGCGTTGAATCCCTTGATGAGATTGCCTGGTTTCATCCGAAGTACGTCTCCCAGCCAGGAGTTTGAGAGGCAGAATAAGAATAATCTGTCCTTTCCCTGAATCCCCGGTTCTGCCTCTGCCCGCAGTAGCTGACGGGTAGCCCCAGCTGAGTACGTGGAGTTGTTTTTGGCTATGACTTGCAGTGCTGCATTTTTCTGAGCATGTCAGAACAGAGCCTGCAACTCATTACTGCCTCCACTAGAGAAAAAGTGTAGTGTGGAGACTTAGGGAGAAACCTTAATTTCCTGAATGAAAAGAGGCACAGGAGAGTGGTCAGATGCAAAAAGAACAGACTTCAGTAGGGGGTGTGTGTGTGTGTGTGTGTGTGTGGTTTTTTTGTTTTGTTTTGTTTTGTTTTTTTACAACCCAGAAAGCACTGCACTCATCAACGCACTAGAAGGCAGCACAGAGTGGCTTTTCAGTCCCAGCTTGAACACTTAGCAAGTCACTCTGAGTTTACCACTGATAACGCCCACTTCCCAGGGTTATAATAAGAAAGGAATGAAGAAAATAAATGACAAGGTACAAAAAATACTTTGTAAGTTCTCAAGTATCATCCAGATGTAAGGGTTTGTTATTTATTCCTAGCACTTTGTCATTCAACGCAGAATCAGATTTTCCAGCTCATCTTCAATAAACATGTATTTGGGCCTCCACGGAAAGTGCAAATCTCCTGCTTTACCTGAGTCACATGGAAGGAGTCAGAACTTACTCCCGGAGTCTCTTTCCTCACCTGACCCAATGCACACCCCTTACCTCCCTCCCGGACTCTGAGATCCAGCTGCCTGAATACCTAGTGAGCGATCAGAAAACTTCCCCCAGGCCAGGCACAGTGGCTCACACCTGTAATCCCTGGCCTCGTCCCCCCCGCACTTTGGGAGGCAGAGGCGGATCACCTGAGGGCAGGAATTCGAGACCAGCCTGGCCAACATGGCGAAACCCCATCTCTACTAAAAATATAAAAATTAACTGGACGTGGTGGTGGGCGCCTGTAATCCAGCTACTCAGGAGCCTGAGGCACGAGAATCACTGGAACCTGGGAGGAAGAGGTTGCAATAAGCCAAGATTGCACCACTGTGCTCCAGCCTAGACAACAGAGAAAGACTCTGTCTCAAAAAATAAAAATAAAAATAAAAACTTCCCCCAACTAGTCTCAGAAGTCCCCCTCCCCCTGCTGCCTCAACTGAACTCCACTGTCCCTTACCGCAGTCTCAAGTGGTGGCTTTTGTCTCCCAGCCCTCATTCCTCAGCATCCGCTTTGAGTCTGTGGCCTCCCTTCCTCCCCATTTTAATTTCCACACCGTTACTCATCCTGCCTCTTGGAAAACTATGGTTCCTCTAAGGCTCATGCCACCTGCCTGTGCTACCCTTCTGCTTTCCTCAGTACTGGCAGCCCAGCAATCCTGGTGGTTCATTTTCATTTTCTTTTGTTTCTTGATATGGAGATGGGGTTTTGCTATATTGGCCAGGCTAGTCTGGAATTCCTGAGCTCAAGCATCCTCTGGCCTCAGCCTGCCAAAGTGCTGGGATTATAAGTGTAAGCCACTGCACCTGGCCTCATTCTCATTTTCTGAGACTCGGCCACTGGCTCCCAGTCTCCTTTTCTACACAGTTGCTGTCATTATCCTCAGTGACTTCACTGTCATGGCCAGCCCATCCAACACCCCACTGCTCAATCCCTTGACTCTGGCTGTTCAAAGCCTTTTTCCCCCTCTCCTCCTCAGAGGCCAGCTCCTGTGGACACAACCTGGGCTTTGTCATCACCAGAAGCTGCTCAGCCTGCAAATTCACATGCTCATCAACCCAACCCTTCAAGGTCACTTGCTCAAATACTCCCCAAAGTAGCACTTCCCTCCCAAGTCCACTAGCTGGTGGAACTGGTTACGTTATATAATATGCTCTGCCTGCCTTCCACAACCCAGGGAAAAAAGTTAAATGTGGCTGGGCGTGGTGGCTCATGCCTGTAATCCCAACACTTTGGGAGGCCAAGCAGAGTGGATCACAAGGTCAGGAGATCAAGACCATCCTGGCTAACATGGTGAAACCCTATTTCTACTAAAAATACAAAAAAAAAAAAAAATTAGCCAGGCGTGGTGGTGGGCGACCGTAGTCCTAGCTACACTTGGGAGGCTGAGGCAGGAGAATGTCGTGAACCCAGGAGGTGGAGGTTGCAGTGAGTGGAGATCGCGCCACTGCACTCCAGCCTGGGCAACAGAGCAAGACTCCATCTCCAAAAAAAAAAAAAAAAGTAAATGTGTGGAAATCCTTTGTGAGCTGCAGAGCACTGCACAGATGTGAGGCACTATTTGAAAGCTGGGCACTAGTGAGGGTGAAGCCAGAAAGAGGAGAGGAGCAACACTGTCTGACAAGAGCAGAGACGACTGGGCAAGTGAGTCAGAGAACACGGGGACTCAAATTGGAAGCCAAGGGTGTCTGACACCATGGCCTCATGGAGGGTTCAGGAATATGATGCTTGAGGAAGCCGGTGTTGGCCTCAGACAAAAGAGAGGTACCCCCCAGAGCTCGGGAACACAACTACCCTGAAATCACTCTTCTGCAGAAGGACAGAGCAATGAAAGGTCTACCTCACTGGTGGAGAGGACAGCTTGGAAGTCAAATCTAGGCCTATTTGAAGGAAGCCTGCTCACCGCATTCACACATGCAGGCAGTTTGAGCCGGCAGGGGACCAGCTCATCCAGCTCTGCAGAGCCTAAAAAGGGGCACTCTGCCCGGGTGGAGGAGTCTTGAGCAGGGGGTACCAAGATCAGCCCCCAAAGCCAGCCTGTCCCGTAGTGGAACCACATGCCATCCATCCTGGCTCAGTGACACCACCAATTGCTTTTGCTTCAGTTCCCTGCCTCTGAGTCCAGTGTTTCTTCCCATGGTCACTGCCCAGCTCACCCAGGCACTCGCCCGTGCTGGTAACTATCAATGTGGTTTGTGAATCAGTCCTCGTGTGTTTGATGACTGCTGCTGCAGGGGCAACAGAGCCTGGCAGGTAAGGGATGGAATGGGGTGGGGCTTGTAAGGAAACAGCACGACAAGCAAAAAGAAGGGGAGGCAGAGTCTTTGGGGACCTGATTGGAGAGAAGTCGATTCATTTGTTTATTCACTCATTCACACATCATGTATTTAAATATACGAAATGTGTCAGGTATTACTAGAGACACAACAGGGAACAAAACAGAACCTGCTCTCAAAGAGCGTCGTTCTCGCAGGAGACAGGCAAGGACAAGATAGCTTCAAAATGGAGTGTGAGCTTAAAAATTGGAGAGAGAAGGTTGATATAAATTAATACTTGCAGGATGCTCTGCTATCAGCTGTAAATGACTCTAACAATGCATCCTCATGGCATTCTCTTTGCTTGAGACACCTTCCCATCTTCATTGTGTGGAATGAACTCCTTGTATTTCAACATCTAGCTTGTCTTACCTCCTCCAGGGAGCCTTCCCTGACCCCTCCACCCCCCAAGTTAGAATCAGAAACCCATTTTCTGTACTGCTGATACACCCCGTATTTACCCATATCATGGTATCTCATTCTATACTGTAATTATCAGTTTACTCATGTCTCTCTACCCAGGTGGTTAATAGTTTACACTTATTGAGTGCTTACTGTGTGTCAAATCTATTCTCATTTAATCAAAAAAGGAGATTGAGAGACTTGCTTCGAAGTTAGGAGCTGTAACTGGTGGAGCTGGGTCTGTCTGGCTCCAAAGACGGATGTTTTCCAGGCCAAGGCAGCCTCCTGGATGTGCAGACCAGGCCTCCGTTGGCAGTGGGAGCTCCATCCCAGTGTTTCTCCCCACAACACTGTACTGGGCTTTACATGGCTGCTTTTGCATATCCAGTGGTACTGGCCCAGGACCAGAGACAGGATAAGTGCCCCATAAATTACTTATGCATAAATGAATGGGGGGTCTATGGGGGAGGGGTGGGAAGCCATTTCACCCCTGAGGCTAGATGGGCCTTTGTGGGTACCCTCAAGCTTAAGACCTTATAACACCATACCCAGCTCAGGTTCCTGGGGCAGCTCCTAGAGGCCCTTCCTTCCCTCCCATCCCACTCCTCTGCAAGGAGAGCTTCCAGTTCCTCCTGCTGCTGCCCCGCTGTGGCCACCACCAGGCATCTCTGCAGAGGGAGCCACGCGTGAGGTCACTGCTCAGGGACAGGATGAGGAAGAACCTGACTTGTAGCAAGCAGCTCCTCCAGACCACACCTCAGAGCCAAGCTCACAGAGCCATGGACAGGAGGGGAACAGAGGGGGAGGGAAGAAGAACGAGGGGGACTCTTAGCCAGGGGTCAGCAGCCCTGGGCTCTGATCTCCACTCTGTTCCTAGCAAGCTTTGTGAGCTTGGACAAGTCACTTCCCTCCGTTTCCACCTCTGAATAACAAGAGGCAGGACTGATGCTCGCATGGGCCCTTCCAGAACTGACCTTCTCCTACCCATTAGCTGGAGCCAATAAGGTGGCAGCTGGTGGCCAGAGAAGAAATGCCTCCAGGGCCAGGAGCCCAGGAAGCTAAAGTGGGGGTGTAGGATGGGGCTCAGGGAGGAGTCAAAGGGAACACAAATGGGAGCTGGGATAGTGCTACTAACCTTCAGCCAGCTGGGGCTGGAGAAGGGGAGGCGTCCTAAGAGTGGCCTAGGGCCAGTCTTCTTCCACTGCCACTGTCTAGCTAGGATGTGACCTTAGGCAAGTCACTTCACCTCTCTCAGTTTCTTTCTTTCTTTTTTTTCCCCCCCACCAATGGACAGGTCACATCTATCTCAGTTTCTTTATCTGTTAAATAGAGGTACTGGTGGTCTTAACATTCTTCAAAGTCTACTTCTCAGTGAGATAAAAGGTATAGAAGTGCTTTGAAAAGTTAATGACCCACCTAGATGACAGCCATGGCTTGTTTCTTTTCTTTTCTTTTTTTGAGACAGGGTCTCACTCTGTGCCCAGGCTGGAAGTGCAGTGGTGGATCATAAGCTCACTGCAGCCTTGATGTCCTGGGCTCGAGCAATCCTTGCACCTCAGCCAGCCGAGTAGCTGGGACTATAGGTGTGTGCTACCATGCTCAGTTAATTTTTTTTTTATTTTTATTTTTAGTAGAGATAAGGTCTTGTTGTGTTTCCCAGGCTGGTCTCGAACTCCTGGCCTCAAACCCACCTCCCATCTCAGCCTCCCAAAGTGCTGGGATTACAGGCATGAGCCCCAGCGCCCAGTCAGCCTGTTCCTTTGCTGGCCTCATGCCACTTTTTCTGGACTAGTCCTGTCATTCCAGATGAGCAAGCACTGATGGCCAGCCTGTTTGACCCATGGGTGATAGACCTTCCAAAGGGAGCCATCTAGCACTTTCCTCTCCACAGCATGCGGCTTCAGGTGTCTGCCTATCCTGCTCTAGCCAGATGACTTGTCCCTTTGACTTTGAACAGGGCCTCAGTGATGACCTCAGTGGATTTCCCTCCCCTCTGCTGAGTGCCTCCCCTGGGGCTGAGTGAAGGTAAGTGCCCCATGCTGGTGAGAACTCCTGCAAAGGGGCCCTGCTCTGGAGAGGAAGTGGAAGGTTGGGGGAATGGTGAGAATTAGTGGCACCCTTCCCATTTCCTACAGTAGCCTTCCCCTCAGACCTGCAGGCTGCCTGTGGGAGAATTTGCCCCCTCTG